TTATATAAACACATTAACAGCAATTTCATGAGGCGTCAAACATAGGAATAAATAGTGAGGGATAAAATAATGAGGTGTTGCTATTGAGCTGAACAGCTATGGCGAAGATCCTTGGGTATGAATTATGCATCCTGAAAGAAGGCATATGTTACAGTATTCAAACAGTTCTCTGCGAGTGCTCTCTGCTCATTAGGCTCTGGATCTTGAGGTAAATCTACTCTCCTCTTCCATCCACGACACCACCAGCGTTTACAGAAATACACTCTCTGGGCCCGGTGGGCTGTGGTTTCTCCCGACTACATCAAATTCTGAACAGGCCTTCCACTCCATTTTTAGCTTAACAGCATGTTTATTTAGCTCTTTGGCTGGAGCTTTAAAGCCATTTAATGTAATGTAAACAAGAACATTTTGTTTGTAATTTGCTAAACGTAGTACAGCCTGACTGTGTCTCCAATTAGGAACTTAAGGTTCATTTAGTCATTTACATCTGGTTCTGATTTAAGGTGACTTTCCTTTTCCACTTAAGAGTTGACTTTCTGTGGCAAAAAAAAGACCCCAGAACCCTTTATGGCTGTTTGGACCAATCCCTTCTGCTTCGAAGTTGGACAGACTCTTTAGTTTAGAAGGGCTTGATTCGCTCTCTATTGTCACTGTGGACCCCGATCCTAGATTTCAATGACCAGAATCAGAGACTTCAGAAATAATGGAGATAGACAGGAAATTGAGCTGGAACCTCATAAAAAAAGGTGCTGAGGACTGCTGAAACTCCAAGGAGTGCTAATATGAAGGGTGCGAGATTGTTACATTATTATTTTTCTCCCTCTGTAGGTTCCAGTCAGTGAAAGATAAGTGGCAAAGACCAACATCGCAGCAGTACTTATGCTTTATTTCCCTTTCTCCATCTGGCACCTTAAAACAACTTGGTATGCCTCTGAAATGGGCTCTCCATTGTCTTACTTTTCATTAGCATTTAAAACCTGCAGCTGGAATCCCAAACACAATTCTCTCCCATTCCACATGCACACCATCTTCCAAAATGTTAAGACGGAGAGAGCTCTGATACGTGAAGTTGGTTCAGGGGCTTTGGTCGGAAGGAGTCTGAAGGGAGGTTTTGTGTCCCTGGAGGAATTTTATCGCTTCTTCCAAATTTCTTTTGATTTTTCTTCCTTGAGAGATTCTTCACAGAAACCAAAGCACATATAGTTTCTCACTCACCATCGAGTCTGAAAAGAAAGATCTGCCCTCTGCAGTGGCTCCTTATTCCTGCCTATACTTCACAATGAGAAGGCATGCGATATAAACACACAGCAGCTCTCTTAGTCATGTTCCCTCCGCCGGGAAGAAAACAGTCAATTGCAATCTCACTAATAGCTGTTTTTCCTTAAATATTGTAATTTTCCGAGCCCCTACTAAGTCATCAATAATTTTGACCATTTTTTTTCCCATTCTGTGTTTGTCTTTGTAGCTGTTCCTAATTGTGGGCTATCATGACAACAGGAATTCTGAGCAATTCTGGCTCATGGAACCCGAGCCTTTTACTTGAATCAACTGCCTACCCAATGGGGCTGTTCTTAACATGCGCTTTTGTCCTGAAGTTTGAAGTTGAAGGGCCTGCCTCTTGTCTGCCCAAGCAACATTGCTTTGAAAATACACAGCAGCATGTGTGCACCCCAATTTGAATATTAACTGAGAGTAAAATAAAATTAATGTAAGTTTGAAACAGGTATATTACATTATGTTGGCACAATGAGTCAACATAAAGTGAAAGAACAGGTGGTAATACACCATAATAACACTTTTGGATATTTTGCTAAAATCCTCTTTATGTCCAAATGTGTGTTCTAGGCAGGCATGGATGCTTTGCTGGCAATTTTTGCAAACTGTTAGGGAAGGGCTGCCTCGTAGCAGCAGAGAAGTGGCCTGTCGAGGTAATACACCCCCTTTTGTAAGCACTGCATCTGATTTCTCTCACTGGTCTCTCTCTCTCTCTGCTTGTCCCTGGGATGGGCCTGCATCCCCTGTGTGCCATGAACCACGCTCTATACCACCTGATGAGTTATATAGGGCCAACTATTATTTAATTTCATCCTTTATGTATAAAACAAATTCTCCAGAAAACCCTCAACTATTTCCAGCAAAGGAATTACTTATTAAATTTGAAATAAAAGTTACTTATTACATTTGAAATAAGCCACTTTTAAAATCTGAAATAAAATTCAGAGGGGAAAGGGGAAAACACTGTGTACACAATTAAAAAGCCTTAAATGTTACATCCTACTTGGGATCATATCTGTGTTAGAAAATCTCAGCACCAACTCTGAAAGGTGGAATTGAGATTGGGAGTAATTTCCCTTTTTAACAAGACAGTAAAAAATAGCGACTCTCATAGTCCTTCGGTTTGTAAACACCTTATATGTCTACATAAAAAGAAAGTGAAATATTATTTTAATGTTCCCCACTTGCTAAAATCAAAATAAAAGCCCGCATTGTAAGAGAATTAGTGGTTAAACCCTACATGTTTATATTTGCTGCCTCGAGGAACTACCTAAGTCTCGTCATAACATAATTCCTTAAATATCTAACCACTATGCAGTACACCTGAAACTAATATAATATTGAATGTCAACTGTCATTGAAAAATTAAAAAAAGGACATTTTTCTTTTCCACCGGAAGCATGGGTACAATGAACTGTACTGACTTTGTATATTGTTAATATAAAGGACCAGCCACGGGTTAGGGAAAGCTATTGTAGGCCTCTGCCTTTTAAAACCCTCTGGTCTTAAAACCACATGAGTTCCTCTAGTGAAGGTGGGAAATGGTTAAGAAAAGTCACCTATCTGGGGTCAGAAAGACCAATAAGGAGTAGTCAGATGGCTGGTAGTACAGACAGTTGAGGATCCCTGAAATAAAACTTTGACAAGGTAGAAGCTAAGAGAGGACAGATGAGTCTTGGAGTGATACTCCTCACTCAGTTGCTGAGTCAGGGAGAAGGGAAGAGAGGCTGAGTCTCAGAGGGAAATGCATGTCCTCTAATGAAGAGGAGCTGCCCGTACTCTTTAGGGAGGGCAATCACTTTCTGGATGTCTCCTCTGCAAAACTGTATCCCACAAAGCAAAAGAGTTGACATCTCTGAAGCCCATCCAAGAACACACACAAATGATCAAAGCAGAGAGAGGCGTGTCCTGGAGTGTGGCATCATGGGTGGAGCTCCGAGCATTCCAATCACAATGTCCAGAAAACAGGGGTGGGGTTGGGATTCCTGGTCCATGTGCAATGAGCTTCTCATTTAGCGATATTCTACTGAGTGAAGTCACTGTGCAATTTTACCACGAATGGCCAACATCAGTTGGGAGCTACCCCTCAGCTTTGGGACTGTGAGGGAAAATTGATCTGAGTTAGCATAGAAACCCATTCTAAAATCCTGAAACAAGTACGATATATTAGGTTTTTGACAGAATCACAAAACACAGTGTCATGCTCTCTTAATAGTTAAATGGGTATTTTAATTGATTGCACAGAGAAGGCTTCAGGGGTATGTCTATTGAAAAGGGCATGAGAAAATGTATAGAGATTTACAACTGTAAAATTTGGTTTTGGTTTATGGAAAAGGGCGGTTGGGAAAAGGGGGGAGGCAGACTATGTTTCTCTAGCCACTGGTTTTATTATTACAACTATAGTTGATTTCGAAGCATTTGTTAGAAAAGAACTATACGTTCAGTGATAAGTCCTAGTCACAGTAATTTGATGTATCAGTTATATAATCTTAGACAAATCGTTCGACAGAATAGGGACTCTGTCTTGCTCCCTGCTATATCCCCAGTCTGTAGAACAGTGCCTGGGGCACATACTAAATACTCAGTAAATATTTGCAAAATGAGTAAGTGAATGAATTTAACTATCTGGCCCCATTTCATAATCTGCAAAGTTTGGATTAAAGTATCTACAACTATTGAGCAGAACAAATGAGATAAATCATATGATAGTGTTCTTAAAAGTATAAACCACTATATAAATTATAGATGTAGATACATATCCACAATATATTGGTACTTCTGGATGTGTATAGGTTTGCAATTTTCTGTTTCTAATGTACTTCCTTGGACTTGATGAAGAAAGGTAAATGTTTCTATCAGGACTGAAGTACAGAAGTAATACATTATTAATGCAGTTCAGTGTTCTGTAACAGCTAAAGCTGCATTCACATAATCCTTTCAATAACTATAATGATAAAGCTAATTTTTTCTTTGTGACAATGAAATTCCAGGTGGTGACAATGGCACTCTAATCCCTGGTTTAGAAATAAGTGATTGCTGTTGCTTGTTGAAGCGGGCTACATGACATACGGAACATTTGCTCTCTCCACGATTCCCATCCTCCTTGAGCCCTTCTGGGCTGAGATGCAAAGTGTCTCAGGTGGCCCTCCCTAAGCAAGGTCTTTCGGCACATCACGGCAATCCACCAGAGAAGGGAGTAAACAGGCATCTGGTCCCGTTTAACACAGCACAGAAATAGGGTGTATGTGGGCTTCAATAACATTCCTTTATAGTCCTTAGGGAATGGCCAAGGGCAGAAGCCATTAAACTTGAGGTTCACTTAGCAAAGAGGGTTCCGATGACAAAAGGGCAAGTAGTAAGTACTGAAGAGAGGTGTGGACAGTTTTCAAAATACTTTTAGTATTTTGTTAGGTTTTTATGATCACATTGGCAGCATTCAGGAATGATGTAATCCTGGCTGGGATATGTAAAAGTCCTTCCAAAAGTAACTACACTCTATAAACTTTGAAACAAAGGACTAGCATGCTATTTATAGAGGAGCAGTAAAGGAGTATACAGTTCTGTGGAAGACAAAGTCGCCTGCAGTCTGGCTCGGATGGGGTGCAGTCCAGCCTTAGTTCTTGTAACCGAAGAACTCACCCAACGGCCTCAGAAGCCATTTCTTTGGAGTGCGTACACTTTCTCAAATCATGGTGATTCCCACTCTATTTCACATCTTTTCTTACCTGCTTTTGCTCTTCACCTAAACCATCCCACATTGAAGCCACAATTTTAGAGACTTCACCGAAGGTAGCATTTGGATTTTGGCCCTTGATGGCGGCCTGAGTATCACGGAAAAACAACGCATAGGCAGACACAGGCTTCTGGGGCTCATTAGGATCCTTCTTCTTCTTCTTTTTGGGGGTTTTTGGTTTTTTCCCCATGTCAGAGGCAGGTCGCTTCTCTCCACCATTGATCTGAAATAAAAGTAAAATTAGAGTTATAAAGGAACTAAGAAAATTTGGGGACAAGCCATATTGTTGTTCCCCTTTAAGACTTACACAGATGTAGTCATCCATACACGTCACACAGACATAGGTATTCCAAAGGGACACTTCATTTTGTTGCTATTGCTGTTTTTCAGGTAAAACTTTGTGTTTCCCATAGTTTTCATGTTCATCCCTCTTCTGCCTAATTTAAGTAGCTTTAAAGTAATAATTCTGATTCTTTTTACAATGTTATTATCTATTAAATACGATCCCCAAACTCTCTTTTTCTTTTTCTTGTTCAGGAAACTTAGTGATAAGTAGCATCGTGCTGCCAGTCCCTTCTGCAGTGGCCTCACTGCAGGAACAATCCAACTTGTTCTCTTCTGAGTTTATCCTTTGGTTCCTAATTATGACTTTGAAACCATAATGGGCAGCACACCCAATAAATGAAGTGGAACAGCTATCAACGTTGCACTTAGGTCTGTAGAAGGCAGTGCTCATGGTTCAGAGAGCGGCATGACCTGGGCATGGGGCAGCGATGCCCAGTGGAGCCTCCCGCAGTGACAGTAAAGTTGTACAATCTGCACAATTCAACATGGCGGCCACTAGCCACACATCACTAGTGAGTATGTGAAATGGCAGCTAACGTGAACAAGAAACAAAGTTTTCAATTTTATTTAATTTTAATCATTTTCTTTTAAAAATTCTTTTAAAAAATTTAAAATTTATTTTATTTTAATTGTTGTTCAAGTGCAGTTTTCTACCTTTTTACCCCCATCTCAACCCACCCCCCAGCTCTCTTTACCTCCCTCCCATTTCTACACATAATTTTAATCATTTTCAATTTAAATAGCTACATGTGGCTAGTGGCTGCCATATTGGCCAATAAAATTTTGGAAACAAGAGTCTAAAATCCAGAATCTAATATTTCTAGAATACCTTAGCTTTACACTCAATTTAAAAATAGACTTTATTGTTAGAAACAGAGGCATGGACACATGGAATAGACTGACAGCTGTCAGGGGGAGTAGGGGGAACTGCATGAAAGAAGGTGAAGGGATCAGCCAAAGAGCAGGTATGAATCATTCATAGACACAGACTGCAATGTGGACATGACCGGAAGGAAGGTGGGAGACTGGGAGCTGGGTGGAGGCAGGCGAAGGGGGAAAAATGGGAATATCTGTAATAGTGTAAACAATAAAAATAAAGTTCAAAAATAAATATGGATCGTCTTTTTTCCCATTGTCCTCAAGTATTTGGATGATTTGAATTGTTACCATGATGCAATTAGAAAAAACACACAATGTACTTAAGACATAGGCATTTGAATATTAACTTTGATCTTAACTAATTATGTGTGATGCCACTTTATCCATAGAATTCGAGATTCTGGATAGGGTTTATTTCTACCTCTAAAACGACATAAAGCTACATGAATATCAAGCAGTGATGTTTCCGCAGGAGTCCTCTTCCCACATGCCCCTCCCACGAAGGCCCAGGCACAAGAGACACCAGTGTCATGGGACACTCTGCACCCTCTCCTTCTCTTGCTGTTATTGCTATTGCCTTTCCTCCTCTGCAAACATAATGTAATATATAGTTTCCTCAGATAAATTGCTAGGTAAATTAAGCGGGGTAATTTGCATAAAATAACTGCCACTGTTGAAGAGGAAGAGTGACATCTGGACAGGCCAGTGGATATGGCATCTGGGGCTCTACACTCACGCCCTTCTTCACTATTTTTGGTGTGCTGTCTTAGACAAACTACATAAATTCTCTGCGCCTCTGTTTCTTTTACTGCAAACCTGTTGATGCATCATTTTGTGAGAGAGTATGCATGATATTCTATGATATTTCAAACTTTAAAATAATATTAAAATGTTAATTATGACATAGTAGAAATGTCTACGAAATTCACTGAATGAATGGAAAAAAATGACCTTAATATTCATTTGTGATGCCATATGGTCACAGTTTAAAAGATATGTCCAAGAACCAAAAAGAGATAAGAAAAGAAAAAACTAAGTGAATTCTCTGCCTTTAGTGAGAGAGATATTTAAAAGATGATCATTTTTAATTTGTCTATGGAAGCAGATCAATGTCCCTGTGGAGATGGGATGCTCTGAATTGAGCCGACAAACTAACGTAGATTGACATGGGAAGATAACTTCCCTAGGAAGGATCTGAGAGGTGAGCCTGTGACATGGTTGGTCCCATGTAACGCTGTCAGAGGACTGGCGTGTTGAGACTGTCGATACAGGGCAAACTGATCTAATAGCTCTAAAGCAAACATGCAGGCAAATATGACCTAAAACAGTGATTCTCAAATATGGCTGCACACTAGAATCATCAGGGAAACTTTCTAATAATAATACCCTCATGCCCAGGCTGTCTTTACAAGTATTAAATCAGAGTCCAGGAGTTGGAGATGCTCACCTCAGTCACACCCTTCAACTCTCCTTCTCCAACTGGCTTTTAAATATTTAAGAAACAAACCAAACAAGTGAACTTTCCCTTTGCCTCAAGGCTACAGTTAGTTTTGTCTTTCTTTTCCTCACAACCGCACTCCTCAGAGCCATTGTCTGGGCTGGCTGCAAGCAGCCTCTGCAGCTCACTTCAACATGCCTTCTCATCTCTAAACTCTCAATGAAGTCACCAAGGACCATGCTGCTAAATCGAAAGGACTTTTAGTGTTCCCCTGACTTGATTTCTCACCATCAGCCCCTTCTCTTCCAATGGTTCCATTTCCCTTCATAGCTCATATCAAACTTGTAGTTATACTCTGATTTATGTAGGTGGATCTTCTCTCATCCTACAGTGCAGTGTAAGCACCATGAGGGCAGGCCTGCAGCTGGCATTGCTCACTGGCACTTACCATCTTTCTTGACACACAGTGAGTGCCTAAGATTTGTTATAATAGTAATAAAAATAATAATAAAACAAGAATGCAATTTGAAGAATGAATGAATCAAAGCACAAATGGTTTCTGTGACAGAAACTCCAGCCTCACTGATTTAGGTCAGTATTTTACAACAGTATGTGGGAAGACTGGAAACACGGATAGGTTATTTAAAAGAATTTGACACGTGAATAGTCATTTCCTGGGGTTACAAGGCTGAGACTTTATGATTTTCTTCTTTACCTTTTTATAATTTCCAAATTTGTAAACATGACCATTCCTGTATTTATAACAATAAAATGTTTATTAAAAAGAAAAATTTAAAAACTACGAGAAAGTCCACAGGGAAGAAAATTAAAAATGAAGTGATCATGATATTGGAGCTCATGTTTCATGAAGGAATAAAAATATTTAGAAATAGGAAACAAAGTATAGAGAAATGAATGTTTAAATTACCTGGACTCATTTTAAAATTTAATTAAAAAATGAATGACCAGACACATGAAAATCTCCATGATTGTAAATTATGACAATTTTTGGGGAAAACAATCAAATGTCAATCAAGGAGGTGAATTTACTTTGACTCAATGCCTATGTTCTTACTGAAAGATTTCCCCAAATTATTTAAATAATTTCTCCACTGCTCAGAATTGTGTTTGAACTGCAGATCTCTATCCTTTCATTTTTAAAGTTGTGTTCAGATAGCATGGTGCAAGTTTTAGGTCTCCTGGATGTGATGTTGGCTGTAAAAGGACAATTACCCTTTTGTATTTGACACCGTGGTCCTACTTTCTGGGGATGATCTGAGGAAGCAGGAGAACCTGTTACTGCCAGTAAGAAGAAGGTTTACATGTCAAGGGTATGAAGATACAAACTCATTTGGAGGCAATGCATGTCAACCCTGTAGGAAACTAAAAAATTCCATGCAACCAGTTGATTTAGTTCATTGTCTGGACACTTTCCCTATGTTCCTTGTTTGTCCTGTGGGGCTCAATCTGAGAGTTTCATGACTCCACCTCGACATTTTCAAGGTTCAGGAGATACCATTTATGCATATGGAGCACCACCCTGGAGCTCCTGCTGTATCTCTGGTTGGGTGCCAGGGTGGTACTAAGCTGCTGGTGTTATCCCATTATGGCCAGACTACCAGCCAGTTTTATAACATTACATCACTTTTTCTTCTGTCATTCCTGAAAGCAAGGGAATATTGATATACCCTCACTTTACCTATGCCTGTGAACCTCAGTTTGAATTATCTGCCACCAAAGAAAACTGAAATCCGAGAGGATCAACCTAAAAACATACATAAAATATTCATTTTTCAAGATTCATGGCCTCTCCTTCCTAATTAAACCTGACCACTAAAACTATATTCTTAGATCATAATATTCTGACCAATGATAGAATTTCCCTCATAGAAATGAACTATGTATGATTTAAGATAATCCCCTGCCTCTCATCAAAGGCTAATATAAGATGAAAAAAAGAAAAAGAAAAACTATGTATGAAAAGATGTCTGTTTTATAAAAAATAAAATGTGCATTTATTCCATTGCTCAATGTTCCTCTAATAAAAACTCATTGGGTTTGCACACTATCTTTGCTTTCACTTTGGGATGCGCTGTGATGGAATGAAAGCTCCCTGCTGTGGTTTGGTGCCTAATGTATCCAAGTGCATGGGCAGGGTTATGAAGGGAGAGGCCATCTGCCTCTTGACCCCTGGGTATTACCTTCTGATCTGTGGGGGTCTTGTTTTTATTTTGCATTTGTCTTTTGTTTGGGAGGGTACAGGAGTGAGCTGCTGTTTTCAACTCTATAATAAACTTGGAACACGCAAGGCCTACTTTCTGGAAGTGGTTCCATCGCATATTTGCAAAACACATGGTCATTGTTCATATGCAAAGCCTCCCTGAAGAAAGAAATGTAGCTGTAATTTGGATCCACTTACATGCTAGTAATGGGTTGCATAATGAAAGATACCTGGCTTTTCTGACCACTAACTATTTGGAATGAACACAATGATGATGGATATGATCGCGGTGGAAAAATTAGCTAAATGGATTTGTAATATGTCCCTGGACCTTAGTTTT